TATTTTGGGGGCGATGTAAGCCCCCAGGGAGTCGATAACCCTTGGCGAACGAGATATTTTGGGGGCGATGTAAGCCCCCAGGGAGTCGATAACCCTTGGCGAGCGAAATATTTTGGGGGCAGATGTAAGCCCCCAGGGAGTCGATAACCCTTGGCGAGCAAAATATTTTGGGGGCGATGTAAACCCCCAGGGAGTCGATAACCCTTGGCGAACGAAATATTTTGGGGGCGATGTAAGCCCCAGGGAGTCGATAACCCTTGGCGAGCGAATATTTTGGGGGCAGCTGTAAGCCCCCAGGGAGTCGATGGCGGTGGTGCCATAGGTGGCTCCACATGTGGAGCAGGGGCTGGTATCGCGTCGGGAGCATTTGCTCCCATCGTGGCGATATATTGGGTCACGGCCTCTGTGGCAGCGCGAGTTGAAGCTTCTGCTATCATGCGTCGAAGCGCATCCTCGGTTATTTGAACCATTCGAGGAGCAGGGAATGGTGGATCGGCGAGTGGTGGGTCCCGAGGGGGGATCACCTGAACCTCGCGAGGCGGATCCATGGGACGTGGAGGAGGTGGCAAGCCAGAGCCTCCACGAGGTGGGAGGTCGTTAGCTGTGTCATTTTCTCTCCGAGCAGACACCTCAGGAGGATCTTGTTGGCTACGTGATCTGGTTTGCATCGTTCCCACAGACGGCGCCAAAATGATGATGCTAATTAATAGCTCACCTAGGGTGGTGTAGAAAATGAACTGGGAGAGCAAAGCGGATCAGTAGCTTGACAACTTGATGATCCTGAGGTACCTGCGATCATAGAACACATGAACTAAGCCGGGGGTTGATCCGGCGGAAACCCCTCCGACGCTCAAGTCAGACGTGCTGATCATAGAAATAGTCCAGAGAATACAGTTGATCGTATTGCTCAGTTAATAGGACGTACCTTAATAAAATGAGTAAAACCTCTATTTATATGTCGTTTATTGGGTTGGGTTTGCTTTGTTGGGCCCAAGCCTTACTTGAAGGTGTTTGGGCCTCGGTGATATTGGTCTTCAATATTGGGCTCGTGGCCCAGTAGGTAAATAACTTGTAGGCCCATTGGGTTGGCCCAATTAGGCATATCAACTATGATCATCACATGTTAAACATATCAGCCAACATCTTTCTTATCAAGATATATCCGAATTACGAAAAACCCCTCTTGTTTGGTTAATTACAGTCACCCCATCTTTTAAATATTTTTACATAAAATTTATGTAATTCGATTATATACCAAACCAAATCGTATATTTAGTTCGGTAAACGGTATGAATTGCTGGCGTACCGAAATTTCGGTTCGATTTTACCGAATCGACATCCCTAAATTTACCTCTGTAGGGGTCTTTTCGTAAGATAATATATAGTTAAGGGGTGGTTGTAATTACCCAAACATGAATGGTATTTTCGTAATTTGACCATAACTCAGGGGTGGCCGTAATTTGCCCTATATATGTATATATATTTCCAGTAATAAGTAATAACAATCACAAATTTAATTATTTTAAAGCTTTAAAAAACTTTTATTTTAAAACAGAAAAGCTTTCAAATACTTGATTACACTGCTGAGATATATCATCAAACAACCACAACAACACAACAAAGTTCTCACATTTAAGAAAAGAAATGCACAACAAAGTTCTTAAATCCATGCACGATACAAATTATTACACAAATTGATCGAGATACTTCTCCACAGTCGTATATTCGACATCGGGATAGAGCTCGGAAGCTTCCACCCCGAACGAAGGCTCGATTTCAAAGTAGGTTTGGTCGCCCTTCACGAAAATCGAGTGGTTGATTGCAAGTATGATATTCACCGGAATTGGCGATTCTGCAAACACACAATAGTTTAATTATATAGAATTAATTGATTAATGATAAAACGAAAATTATTCGGATTTTTAAATAAAGAACAAATTGATACAAGGCTTTTCACACTAACCTTCGATTTGCTTCAAGAGTTGTTCCTCCGAAACGTACTCTTTCTCGAGAGTCTTCCCGATTTTTTTCTCCCATAAAGAAACGAGTTCGTTGAACGAGTACGTATTCTTAGGGGGCTTAATGTAGAGGATCTTGTTCAATGTTCTTGGATCATCCACAGCTTTGATGGTGTATGTTCCGATATCTTGCTCGTGATTGAATACAGCTACGATCGGATATAGAAAAGATATAACCGAAAAAAAAAAATTAGAAAAAAATAAAGGCTTATGAATTTCAAGAACTTTAAAGATAAGCTTTTTTTTTTTTTTTAAAGTTGCATTAAGCAAAACCACTAACGAAATCGAGAGTATTTTGCAAATCCCACTAATTAATTGTGTGAATCTTGAAACTTAATTTATCGTAAATCGAAATTTTTTTTTGGGGAATTAAGTACCTTTAGGATTTCCATCTCCGAGGATAATTACTTTGTCTCTTGGAGGAGAGGTGGCGAAGCCCGGTTGGGCGAATGACGGCAGCGAATATCCGGCAAAATAGTTGGACGATACATAGGTGTATGGGATGCCCTCTGCCTCGATAGCTCTTCGGATTTTGACCTTTATATCGAATGTTGACTTTGCTGGTTCGACGGCTCGGGTTCGATCCACATCGTTTCCGAATTCCGAAGGAAAAAACCTCTGCAACATCCAAGATTGAAAAAAAAGACACTATCAAAAATCCTATTTACATTTCATCCTCTATTCCTAACTATATCCTACTATTTAGAATCATCAATATTGCAATTGGTGATATCGTTCGCTATTAACTAGGGGTCGAAATCGGATCAAAATTACCACTTTCGGAGAATTTTCATTTTTTTTCGAAATGATGTTCCCGGAAAAATCGAAAGTCGGAATTAGGAACGAAATTTTTTGTTTTGAATCGAAAAATTTCGGATCGAAATGGCGGAATTTGATTTTTTTTTTTCAGTCACTTAGTGATATAAAATACATAATAATATTGATATTTTAATGCGTAAAATTCGGACATAAATCAGAATTTTTGGAAATTAAAATCGGGTCGGAATCAGACACCAAATATGTATTCCAATTATGTTCGGAAAAATTGAAAATTTCGGAATCGGAACTCTCGAAATTGGGAATGAAAAGTATTACTCCAAAATTGGAAATATTCGGAACGGAATCGACCGGATTCGGAAAATTTCCGTTCCAATTTCCACCCCTAGCAATAACTAATCTGCATAATTAATTATCATCAGACAAATTAAAATTTAATTACCTTAATATTTCCAGATTCCTTAATTGCAGCAATAATCTTGTCTTGATCAGCCAATTGAAAGCTGCCAACTGTAGATATAACAACATCCACCTGCTTTATCGCCTTCACCAAGCTCTCGTGATCGTACAAATCACCCTGCACAAAATTCACACACAGTACACCACTTTTCACACACTTAATTTTATTATTAAACATACAATAATAGTTCATATAATTATATATACATACAGTGAGAATGGTGACACCGGAGTTTTTGAAACCCTCGACGATTTTGCCTTTGACCGGATCGGCGATTGTGCTCTCTCTGAACAGAGCAAATGTTGGGTGACCGGATTTTGCGCTGGCTTCCACTACGAATTTACCGATATACCCCGTTCCGCCGATTATCAGAATCTTGCTTTTTTCCGCCATTTTTTTAATTATTTTATTTTGCTTCTCTCTCTCTCTCTCTCTCTCTACAAATTAGTGAATGAGGAGAGCTTATGAGAAGACTCGCTATTTATAGGAAAGTTCTGTTGCATAATGCATATGATGAAGTGAATTTACGGAAATAACCTTGTTGTGCCGTAGAAAAGTAACAGTCGATTTGGGAAAATTTAAATCTTTTACTCCCTCCATTCTTAAATAATTGTCACTTTTCAATTTTCACAAATATTAAGAATTCAATAAATATATTTTGATTTTAGAAAAAATATATAAAAATGACTAAAATACCTTTTATTATTAAATGATTTATAAGAGAAAATTAATGAATAGAGTTTCATTAATAAGGTTAAAACAGGAAAAATGCATTCAATGCAGTATTGAAAATCTAAAGCGACAAATAATATGGAACAAAAATATTTTTAAAAAAAGACAGTTATTATGGAACAGAGAAAGTATTTAATTTAAATTATCCGATCTGAAATGTTAAATGTCGTTTCAATTTTACTGATGTCGTTTTGACTTCGAACCTGATTTTGATATATTCCTATTTTGATTTTGGCAAAATTCGAAACACGAAAACTATAGTCCTTTGGATTAACTTTCTAATCCAACTTAAATCAATTAGATTGGATGCCGTGTGACAAAGTTATGCATGAATGAGTGACATTTTGAATTTTAGATACCTCATTACATCAAAGTTGTGGGCAGTATCCATTGATTCATGTATATCTTTCTCGTCCGACATCCAATTTTGGTGATTCAAGTTGGATTAGAAAACTAACTCAGAATACTACAAATTATATTTTTCGGGTTTTGCAAAATTTTGAATTAAAAATTATCAAAATCACGTTTGAAGTCGTAACGATATTATTAAAACTCGAACGACATTTATCACATCCCTTATCCGATACACTATTATAATTTATAATAGAGATGACACACTAATTTATTTTTCAATTTTCCCTTTATAAATTATAAGTTAGTTTTAAATAAGGAACAAAAAAGAATAATTAATTCAGATCAAATTAATGAAAATAATGTTTGATCATATTGTAATTATTTTTTAAAAAATTATGTGTATTTTTTTTAGCTCTTTTAATACGTGTGTTCAAATATTAAATGGCAGTTAATTGAAAACATATGAATTATTTTATATTTTATTGTTTAAGGTTTAATATGTGTTTTGTGAAGTCATGATGACCTGGAGCTGAAGTCATGGTAGCAAACAATTGTATGTGGACGCGATAGTGGCCGAGATTCGTATCAAATTTTGAACCGAGTATCTAACGGCTACCGTGTAATACAATTTCGTTAATGTGGTGCAGTGATGTGCAATGATTATATATATATATATTTTGCTTTATCACTGCACACCAATATATTATGTAAATTATGTAGTAAGATATATGTTAAATATTTATTATTAATTTCCAAACTTTTATTATTCAAATAAGGGTAAATTATGAAAAAACCCATGAGCTTAGGCTAAATAACGAAAAACGCCCCCATGATTCGTATTTACGAAAACCCCCCTGAGATTTGTTTTCGTCTTGCACCAACCCCCTTGTGTGATTATTCACGGATTTTTTTTTTCATTCGAGGAATATACTTAACACAGTTTCAGATATTTTCTTTTATTTTTCACTTATTTAACAGAAGGTATAATAGACTGTACACATTTTCTGTTAAAAAACTCAATCAACAGTTAATCAGAGGAGTTTTGGTTATTATGGATAAGTGGAAGCGATTTTTGTTATTTAGCCTAAATTCAGGGGGATTTTCGTAATTTACCCTTTGAAAAAATATGATGCATTCTGTGAACAAAATTGTTGTATTTATTTTGATCCCGAATATCTATTCGAATGTATAGAAAATACAAACACATTCATGTTTACCTGGAAAAAACTCCGATAGGTGTTCACTTCAAAATTTAGTCGTACGAAACTTAAATACGTAAATTATTGAAAAATGTATATTGTGTTATAAATTTAACTACGACGTAATGAATGGAGACGCAATACTGCACAATATTCGGCCTTGGCCTACCAACTTCTAAGTTAACAAAAAGAAAAAGAAAATGTTTTCTTCCATAAATTACACTCGCCTACTTAAATTGTTGTTTTAATTGAGCGGTTAGCAAAAAAAAGGTTCATTACACCTACACCCCTGCAGTATGATAGGTTTAACCCCCACTGTAGTATTGGTAATTACAACCAAATCCCTGAACTTTCACGTAAAGTGATTTTTTTATTTATTATTTACTTTAATTTTATAAAATTGATTGTCTTTGCATTTGGAGACTCTGATTTGAGATTTCCACTTGTTGGTAGGTAAAGATCAAATATAGTGAACAAAGCTTCGAAAATAATTTATCCAATTAGGTATGACATGTATAAATCGTGGGCTTGCTTGTAAATGAATCGAGACTTGTTTATGGTAATCATACATTATCGCTTGTAAATGAATTGAGACTAATTTATAGTAATCATTCATTACCAATTATTTGAGTTGGATAACTAATTGACCCTATAACGAAATGTTTAGTACGGATACAGAAACGGCGATATGAGAAAACGGGAAAAAGATACGTAGAAACGGCATTATCTAAAAAAATGGGGATACGAGAGCTTGGATGAAACTTGTAAATATTAAAAGTATAGGGGTATATTTATAAATAAACTATTTAAACATACAAAGGTTTTTATTTATATATTATCATACAAATATATTCAGCATAAATTTTACTAGGAATTATCAATTTACAATTGATCGTTAAATCATGTAAATAATTAGGGAAATCAAAAATATTTGAAAATTTGTTATTCAAGCACGTTTCTATTTTTTTAGAAATTGTAGAATGTCATTTAAGGTGTTCAACAAGTGTCTTCGAGTGACGAACACAAAACATGCCCGAAACACGAAAAAATTACGAAGTTGAAGTTTTCGTGCTACGTAGTTAACCACTCTAATATATCGTGATTTATGCAAGTTTAATAAATTCTAAAAGGGTATTGGGCCAATTAATAGAAATTGAGATCTCAAAATCAAAATTCTCGCAAATATATAATTAATTGTCTAATGTTTGGGCCCAATAATCAAATCCATTACCATACTAATTAAGCCATAGTTTAACAGCCCAAGATATGAACTCGTCCACTTTCAATAAATCAAATGCATATACATTAAATTCATCTAAAACATAAATAAATACATGAAATAATACATGAAATAATACATATACATGCCCTTATCGGAACTCTTAATTAGGATAATTCATTAAAAAAAGGAAAAATAAAACACTTAATTTAAGTCAGTCGAGCGCGGGTTAATGAGTTAGGAGAATTGTTCGATAAAAAAATTAGCTCGAGATCGCAGTATTTCTAATTGTTCATGAACCCGTTTCGTAAGTATTATAAATTAATAAAATATATATTACAATTATATATCAGAATCAAAAATAAATTTCGGGCGGCTTGGGAGATTTTGTATTTTTGTTTTTTATTGTTACTATATACATAAGTTCAAAAAACACGAGCTGAAGCTAAAAAAAAAAAAAAAAAAAACTCGACGAGCTCATCAAAATTTTCTCGAGCTCGTTACACAACTACTGTCGGTAACAAATGAAAATGTGCAGTTGTATGTATTTATTATAACTTCCAAATATTGTAATTTTTGTTAGGCAA